CAGCTAAGGAAACATAGCCACTATCACATAATTCATATGTAGAAAACAAATCTCTAAAGGGGGACATGTGATAGGTACAACCAGAGTCAATCAACCATTCATGCTCAGACAGGGAATTACGCACAGAATTAACATGGTCACAAACCATCAAAATATCACCAAGGTCACATTTATCAACAGCTACACTAGCCTGCTCGGTCTTCTTAGGTTTAGGGCAATCCTTAATGAAATGGTCAGCGTTACCACAATTGTAACACACTCTCTTCCTAGATTTGCTCCTCTTTCTCCTAGGCTGACTAGTGTTCTTACTTTGACTATTTTGCTTAGAGTTCTTAGACCTACCCTTAGATCTACCTCTAACAAACATAGCCTCACTGGAGTCCCTGGACTGACTAGCACTACCCCTAGCATGCTTCAGGTCTAATTCCTTACTCCTTAACCCATTAACAACAATATCTAACGAAATCTCATCCCTACCATACTTAATAGCGGACTTAACATCATTATAAGAGTCGGGAATGGCATTAAGTAATACTATGGGAGTATAATCGTCTATGTGTTTATCACCTGCCTGTTTGATATTCTGTATCAGTTTATTAAACACATCCAGGTTCTCATCTATATCTTTAGTCAGGTCAAGCCTAAACCTAAAGAATTTTTCAAGTAAAAACAACTTCCCGGGCAAAGAGGTATCAGTATAGAGACTATCCAATTTCTCCCACAATTCCTTAGCGGACTCAAGAATACCCACTTTCCTAAGCAAAGAATCAGACAGATTCAAGTAAATAGTAGAACAAGCAGTTTCGTTCATTTCAATTTGCTTAGCCTTGTCTTCTGATTCAAGGAAAATACCAGTGACAGCTCTGAAAACTTTTTGTTGTATTAAAACACACTTAATTTTCTGTTTCCAAATATCAAAATCTGTTTTTCCATTAAATGGAAGCATACCATACTGATTAGCAGCCATGGTATCAACCACAAAACAACACAAAGCTAAACAGACAAATTTGACAGAAAATAATCCAACCCGGGCTATAAAGTATTCACTTTAATAACCACGGGCAGCATGCAACAAATAGCAATTTTGGACAGTTTGGCACATAAACAACTTCGGGCAGCAGTTAACGTTAATTAATTCTACCCCTAACACCCACTAAACCACCTCTACGCACAAGAATTGAAAATTAACACCACTATGCAATTCAATTTAAACAACTAAACAATCTGCCACAAAGGAGAGGGTTTAGCAAACGCACCTGGGGGGTTGGCGGCTGGGATACAATCTACCGGCGGCCCGCGGGGAGGGGGAATAAAATTAAATCCGGAGGCACCCGGTGCACCTAGGGTGTTTATAGCCAATTTACCTTAGCGAAACCCTAGGAGAGGGTTTCGACCTTACCTACCCAATTTTAAAAAATCGGGATTCTTCTGACTGTTGAACGGCGTTGACCGGCGTTGACCGGAGTTGACCGGCGTTGACCGGAGTTGACCGGCGTTGACCGCGGTCCAGCTGCTCCAGCAACTCCAGCAGGTCAGTCCAGCGGCCCAACAGCACAGGTCCAGTAGCTTGGCAGCCCAAATCCAGCAGGTCAGCAACCCAGCTCCAAATCAGCAAAGAAGGTCCAGCAGTGTAGCAGCCCAACAGGCCCAGATCCAACCCAAAGTCCAGCAAGTGCAGCGGCCAGCCTTACGTCCCTATCCTCAGGGATGTCGGCGACAAGCCTTCTGCGAACAACAAGACTGTTGGTGGTGGCTCCGAAGGGCGAGCGACGGGTCCAGTCACGAGCGACCACCGTCAATAGCTCTCAGGCGACGGCGGATGGCGGCTTCGGTGGCTTCGGCGATTTGCGCAGCAACCGGCTTCCAGTCCGACCCTTCTGAGTTCAGTTCTTCAGGTCCAAGCTTACCAGGCGATGGACACCTCCACGGACCTCGAAACGGCGGCGGACGGCGGGACGGCGGCGGTGAACGGCGGTAGACGGCGAACCAGGCTCTGATACCACTGTTAGGATCGTATCCGTCTCTGGCTTAGGTCTCCAACCACTCTAGACTAAACTCACAGACACCCTCTAGGGCTAGGCCACAACATCTACCATGTTTACTCACTCTTGTTCACTCCACAAAGGAACTCTCACACAAGGAAAGGAAGAAGGAAGACACTGCTCTCTGGGATTATTTACGCAGGCTTCACTCAAAGGGGCAAACAAAAGGACTACAAATAGGGTGCCAAGGAAAGTCACGGGTGAGGCTAATCAACAGGGTGTCACAGGCTGCCAGACAGGAGGTGCAGCGGACAACAACAAAAAAAGGGGGCTCACATATTGTAAGTCAACAGGCATCAATGAGTGATTTCAACTAAGGGAATCAAAGTGGGAGTAAACATGGGGTGCAAGCCTTAATAATAAAGTGGAAGGGAGGCCTTGGTAGGACCAATACCTCCAACAACATCTTGAAAGACGTGGCCGGTCACAGCCTTACTTTCGATAGTATTAAGATGGAAGTTCGTTGATGGAGTAGACATCGTTGATATTTTACAGCAGAGGTAATGTCAACTCTTGCTTTCTACTTCGTAATTAACAAATTCAATATCACACAAATAATTAGGGAGTATTTTCTCAGGGAATATAGAGAGGTTCTTCCTCGGTTCCTTCCTTAATTTTCATTTCTCACACGTGATCAACTTGTTAAAGGTGTTTACTGATAAGTTCAGAACTTTGTTATCGGGATAAGCACCAAATATGAGTGGTGTTTGCACGTATTTACACTTTATGGTAGACATGCATAGACTTCGATGTGAGAACAAAACTGTGTATTTGTTGCTTTAGACATGGTTAATTATCAAAATAGGACTAAAAGTCACTCACTTTGCACAAATAGGACCAAAAAATAAACTATGTTTTCATAGGACTAATTATGTGTGGCTTAGACAAATATACTCTTATAGCTATTGCAATGTTTTAAAACTTCTTAATTGAATAGTACAATGCACCTGAAAAATTAAAGACTTCATAAACTTCTCAAACACTTGTTTTCTATTGAAAATGACACTTCATGTTTTTGGACTCCCAAACATAATTATGCTAAACCTCCTTGTGATATATAAATTCGCTGCACTAAGCTCTTGTGGTTAAAAAAGTGTCAAACCCCTCTCTTTTGTAAACAAATTTAACAATTTAGAAATTACATTTTGTATTATTATGACATAATATGCAAGTAAATTTTTATAAATATCTAAATAATATAAAAATGCTAATCATTGTTCTTTTATTTGACTATTTGACTATTATAATTTTGAGCATAATTATAAGAGTCAATATCTATGTCGCGCGAGGTTTGCTACATTAAACCCGTGCTAACATATATTATGACAATTTATACCGTACACCCGGGTGTACATATGCATTACGTCTCTTTTCTTTTGCATTTTACATAGATCAATTTTTACTTATTTTTCCTTTTTTTCTTAACCACCTTATTCATTGATTTCAAATTTTCAATTTATGATGAATATTTAAAGTATTAAATTTTCATTTTTCTATTTTTAATTTAAGATGAATATTTATTAGTTTATTAAATATTATGTGCTAATTACTAACATGAGTTTTGTATTACACTAACATGACTATAGTGTAAAAATAAATATGCATAGACAAACATTATAAAAACTGATTATATTTGTAATTCCAGAACAAAAAACTATAAATAATTTATAATATGAAATTATTATATTTGTTATAATTATGTTTGTCAAATGAGCTTTTGAATTTTTTAATGCTCAATATGTATGTCACGTACGTTCATCTTGTACTGGTTTTATACTCATTTTAAAATGTCATATTAATACATATTTCAAAAGTTTCATATTAGGTTCACATGGGGGCATAGATCATGATAATAAATTGCATGTTTTTATACTTAATAGAAGAGCTTTGATGTGTAATGAAAATGTCTTGATACTCAAGTAACAAAGCTTATGATTTTCATATTATTGCTCATTTGGTAAGTTTTGTATGCTCATTTGGTATTGGATTTATGGTCATTTTAAAATGTTATATCAATGCATAGTACAAAAGTATCATATTACATAAGAATTACGTAGAAGTTGATTATAGATACTAGATCGAGCACATACCTTGATACTCAATTGCATGTCTAATATCCAATAGAAGAGATTTGATGGTCAATGAAAATGTCTTGATGCTCAATTAAAAAAACTTATGATTTGCATATCAATGCTCATTTTGTAAATCACATATGCTCGTTTGTATAGGTCTAATGTTCATTAAAAATTCATTTATGAGCATTTAACAGAAATCGTGATTTAAATCGATCTCAATCGATGAGGCTTGCTACTCAATGAAAATGTCATGATATTCAACTAACAAACCTTACGATTTTCATATGAATGCGTATTTTTTAACTTACGTAATGCTCATCTAGTACTGATCTTATGCTCATTTTGTAAATGTCATATCAATGCATTTTTAAAAGTACTATGCTCATTGTTAGGTTCCTAATACTCAACCGAATAAGTGTGATGCTCATTGGAAGTGTTTTAATACTCATAATAAGTTTGATGCACATTAAAAGTTCATTAATACTCATTTAACAGAAACTATGATTTTTATCTCAATAGAGAAGATTTGATGTTAAATGAAAATGTCGTTATGTCAAACTAATAAACCTTACGATTTTCATTATGTTCATTTTAAAATGTTTGATGCACATTAAAAGTTGAGCTCATTTTAAAATGCCATATCAATGCATATTTCAAAAGTATCATATTACCTTAAATTCTCATATTGAAATTTATAGGAGTATATTATAGATATAATTTAATAAGTTTTTATAAAAAAATAAGAAAAAATCGAATCAGAAGATATGAAACAGAGATAGTGAAATTCATTGCTACCCTCCTAATACTCGATAAAATAGCTCAAAGCTCATTAAGCTTACACTATTGTTCAATTAGGAAGCCTGAAATTTCGCTTAGGGTATGTTTGGGAGTTCGGAGGGAAGGGGAGGGGAAGGCTTTGGAGGTATGTTGTTGGAGGGGAAAGGGAGGGGACGGTGAAAAAGCTCTTCTTTGTATTTGGGAGTAATAAATTGGAAGAAGAGGGTTTTTGAAGGAATTATAATTAAAAATCACTTTGAGATAAGACGAATTCAAATCGTTGAGCTGATATTCGTTTCTAATTTAAGTTAAATTACTATCTTGTTAATTATCCAAAACCACCCCTCCAATTTTTTAAACTCCCAGACATGAAAAGGAGGGTCATAAACCCCATTAACCTTCCCTCCCTTCCAAAATCAAATCCCAAACATTAACCTTAGGTACAAAAATGACACCGGTGGTTTCTCTCTGCTGCGGATTGTTCTTCTCCTTCTGCTTTGCAGCCGCCGCAATAACGTATATATGAAGTGGCTGCGAAGGCAACATCTGTCGCATGAACCAGCGCCACGATCGGTCGTCCGTGAGCGGGATGGAAACAAACACGCCTCGGTCTCCGGCGAACGTTGTCAAGTACTTTCCGTACAAGCCCAGATCTGTGTTCTCCTTTGTAGTGTCCATTGCAGAGTGCACTTTCACCAGCAGTTCATCGTAAGAGCTGATCTGCGGAAGGAAACACATGGTTTTGGGGGGCTCTGAATAGTCAACCGAACATAGATGCCCGGTCTTCAAAATCTCGCCTCCCCAATACAGCAATGCGATAACCTCATCCCCATTCTCTGCCATCTCTTCCCTTTTTGTTTCAACTTCTGTCTACGTTCCTTTTACGGAGATGATAGTTCATTCAAAATCCTGCCTCCTAACACTACTTGGCGGTTATATATAAAAAAAATCAAAAAATGTCTGCACACATTTATTAAAAAAATGTAAATTTCATAAAAATTTGATTTATAAAGTAAAATATTAAAAATGATTTAAATTGACCATTTGAACAGTGGACGAGAACCTTCTAATGAAATCGAGGTAGTACTTTTCTTAAACTTGGGGACCCACCTGTAGTTTGAACAATTGAAAGGCAGCGCTCAGTTCACGTTTTTTATACGTAGTTCGCCACTTCAAGTGGTGGCTTCTTTAACTGGGTTTTATCTCAGCAGTATTTTAGGAATTATTTTTAACTCAATCCTATTTTCATAGTTAGCTATTTAATTAACATTAATTCGAGAAAAAACTCCAAAAAATAACCACCAAACGGGCTATAATACTCCTGCTTTTGCAGAAAACCTCTTCTATAGTGGCCCAACAAAAACACGCTTCGAATTCAGCTTTTTGTAAACAATATAAGGCTATGTTTGGCGGGCATAAGTTCCTGCCTTCTAGCTTTTGTACTATTTAAAAAGTCTTTAAAAACTTCTAGTTGTATGTTTGGCACGCCAATTTTTAAGAGCTTTTATAAAAATAAAAGATCTTTTTTGAGATGTTACAGTTAGTAGCATCTCAGATAAGTCCGTAGCTTCTATCATTAATTAGTCTTAACATCTTGTATACCAAACAGAGCTAAATCAAACAGTCGGCTTTTTACCAAACAGCTACTGCCTTTTCTTTTTAAAATTTTTTCAGTCACTAAAAGCTAACAGTTATTAAAAAGCTCATAAAAGTATATTTTCAGCTAGTTGTGCCAAACATACCCTTAAACTCTAAAGTCTAAAATCAACAAATATTTCGTTCTCACATTCAAGTCTATACGTACAAAAAAGTGTATATATTTAATATGTGCAAACACCATTCATAATGAGAATTTGAACAGTTAATCAATCAAACATTTAACAATTTAATCAGTGAAATTGGTCATTTATATCTAAAAATATTCCCTTTAGAGATCAGTGACATGTTGATCGAGGTACCTCCGATCCAAGTATATTACAACCAGCATTGGGCGAAGGTGACACATGCATCAAGAAAAGAAAAAAAATATGCAAAATGTTTATACCAGCGGTATTTACACGCGATCATATACTTTGATCAAATTATTTGTACACAGATAATTTGATCTGCATTTTCTGAATAAAATCAATTTTCACATAGACAAACAAAATTGTATGTATCACAAACAATTCAAATTATCTGACACAGACAATTTGACCGATGTGTACAAAAGAGGCTGCCACCGGGGCTGACAATATCTGATTTGTATTTAGCACATTTTGACAATTTTGTTGTAATGGATATTTGTATGCTCTCGGCCTCGGCCATTTTGTAATATGTACTTTAACTCTTCCATTCTTTTGATGAATGAATACTTGCCTTCGGGCCTTTTTTATACAATTCGTTCCCTTCGATTGTCTTTCTTTGAATGTATGCCCTCATCCTTTCTGAATGTATGCCTTCGTCTTTTCTGAATGTATGCCTTCGTCTTTTTTTTGAATGTGTGTTAGGACTTAGAATATATTCCTCTAAGTATAGTGCCTTTTGTAGCCCTCGGCCACTAGGCCTATTTAGTCATCTGAATATTTTGTCGAGGGCCCAACGTTCAGGACTTAGAAATTTTTCTAAGTGTTGTTCATCTGTTGGCCCCCGGCTAATTCCTTCCCTCTGGTTCTGTGTAGCCTTCATGAGATAACCGGAGGCAAGGTGCTCAGGACTTAGAAAATTTTTCTAAGTGTTTGGACATTGTCCAGCCTTCGGTGCGTGGGTATATAATCGAGGGCTCAAAATGTTTAGGACTTAGAAAAATTTTCTAAGTATAGCTTCACCAAGTCTTCAACCGTATGGCCCCTCTGGCTGCATGGAGATTTGATCGAGGGTCAAAATATTTAGGACTTAGAAAATTTTTCTAAGTGTAGTCGTATGAGTTAGGAGCCTTCAGGTGAAATGTGAGAGCCTCGTCGTATGTGTACCCTCGGTTGAATGGTGACTCGTCAGAGGGCAGAGTACTCAGGACTTAGAAAAATTTTCTAAGTACTTCCTATTGCTGGCCTTCAGGCGGGGATCCTTCGGCTGTATATGTTGCAGGTTTGGGATAGTTTCCTTTGCCTCGTAATGTTGGCCTGTGGCAACAAAAAGCCTTCGGCTGTTGTTATGTCCCCACAGTTTGACTTAGGAAATTTTGTAATCCAAGTCCAGCATGAAAAGACAAACTCCCTCGGACCCTGTCTGGGTGTGTCCCCTCGGCTTGTAGTGAGGTGCCGGAGGTGATTCGATTCTTGCTTTGATTTGGCCAACATCTGATAGTTTTGTCATATAGTAGCCTTCGGGAACGTTTTGAGTTGTTGTTGGGTGAGCCTGTCATTTTTTTGTAGGGTTTGAGCCTTCAGTTTTGATATAGCCGGAGGCAATCATGGAGTGGACTTAGCCATTTGTTGATGATGTCTGTTGTGAATGGTGTCTTTGGTACTTATGAGCTTCCAGGTACCGAAGGCGTTCCCATGGGGAGCCCTCGGTATGTCCTCGTGAATTTGTTGGAGTGATGTACTCATTGATTTCTCGCTGAGTCTACTCCCCTTCACCACCCCATTTTTTTTGGTAGTGAAAGGAAGGCTTCAAGAAACTTGGTTTCTTGGTAAGGCTTGGCCTATCGGGAGGTAACAGAATACACCATTAGCTCCCCCCTCGGGTTAACCTTCCGAGTTCCGAGGGGATCGAGGGTCGTTTCCTGGGTACAAGATATGGTGGTCTGTAGCCTGCCTCCCCTTGGGGGATGGCACGGAAAGCGCCTCAGTTTTGAAATTCGTCCCCTCGGTGCTAGACATAGTCCGTGGCCTGCCACACCCTTGGGGTAGTGGTGTGGAAAGCGTTTCGATTTGGAAGTCGAATCCTGGGCATTTTAGATGCCTGCCAAACCCTTGGGGAAATGGCGCGGAAAGCGTTCCGTTTTTGAAAGTCGAATCCTGGGCATATTTCGTGCCTGTCATACCCTTGGGGTAGTGACGCGGAAAGCGTTTCAGGGAAGGGTTTTCATTTGCACACTGGTTGCAAATGGCCGGGGGCACTACGTGCTGCCGGCACCGAGAGGTGGCGCCTTCGGTACAGGCGTCCTCGAGGGGTACGGCTTTAGAAACAACACTTAGTGTTTGTTTCGGTGTACACCCCCCGGTACTTGGTACCAAGGGGTCTTCTGTGAAAACACTTGGTGTTTTTTCTTCATTTGTCGCAGGTGATTGTGTTGTCTACCATCGGTACTTGGTACCGAGGGGTCTTCTGTGGAAATACTTGGTGTTTTCCCTTTATTTGTCGAAGGTGATTGTGTTGTCTACCCTCGACACTTGGTACCGAGGGGCCTTCTGTGAAAACACTTGGCGTTTTTCTTCCGTTTGTTGAAAGTTGACAGTGGTGTATCCCCCCGGTACTTGGTACCGAGGGGTCTCCTTTGAAGAAAGTTGGTACTCTCTTCCTCGTTGTAGGTGATAGTATTGCCTACCCTCGGAACTTGGTGCCGAGGGTACTTGCTCGTGATAAGGCCTTGGGCCAGGGGGGATATGAGGGTTTGGCCACTCGTAAGAATCATGTTCCCTGTTCTTGGTGTCTTCAAAATGCCTTCATTCTTCAGAATTTTTAGGCCTTGGGCCGTAAAATAATACATCCACTAGTTATGAGGGCTTGGCCGCTCTGATGTTATTGATAAAATTTAACTAAGTGATGTACATTCCAGTGTCTAGGGACTTCAGTCCCATTAGGGCGTTTTAGTTTGTATGTTCTGGGTTTGATGATGGCCGCCACGATGTAGGGGCCTTCGAATTTGGTGCCATCTTTCCGCCCTCGATTGGTTGGCTAGCTTCCCTTCTTCGGAGGACATAGTCCCCCACTTGGAATTCCCGGGAGCGGACCTTGGCGTCAATGTAACTCTTCACTTGCCTTCGGTAGTTTTCTGCGCGTATGAAGGCTTGCTCTCGGCGTTCTGAAATAAGGTGGAGGTCGAGGGCCATATTGGAGTCGTTGGCCTCTGGATCATACTGTGTGACCCTTCGGGTTGGAAGAGTTACCTCAGTGGGGGCCTTGGCTTCAAATCCGTAACAAAGGGAGAAGGGTGTCTCGCCAGTTGCCCGCCGAGGGGTGGTACGGTAGGCCCATAAGATGTTGTGGAGCTCTTCTACCCAACCACCCCATTCGGCCTCCAGCTTCTTCTTTAGGCCCTCGAGCAAGGTCCTGTTGGCGTTCTCCACCTGTCCGTTGCCCTGAGGGTAGGCAACGGATGAGAAGGTGTGTTTGATGCCCCATGCCTCTAGGAGGGCACAGAAGGGGGCTGCTTCGAATTGAGTCCCGTTGTCGGAGATGATTTGCTGAGGGACGCAAACCCGGTGAGGATGTTTTTGAGAACAAAATGACGGCACCTGGCCTCAGTGATGCTGGCGAGGGGTTCTGCTTCCACCCATTTGGTGAAGTAATCGATGGCGACAATGATGTACCTGTTGTTGGAGGTACCCCTCGGCAGAGGGCCCACAAGGTCTATGCCCCATCGAGCGAAGGGTATGGATGTGCTGATGGGGGCATAGTTGACCGCTGGCCTGCCGGGGGCTTTCTTGAAGTGTTGGCATGCGGAGCACCTTTGGTCAAGATCTGCACAATCTTGGGCCATTGTGGACCAGAAGTAGCCCTGGATTATTAGCCTTCGGGACATGGAGAAGGGTCCCTGGTGAGCTGAACAAGTGCCACTGTGCACTTCCTCCATCGCCACTTCGGCTTCATCTTGATGAAGGCACCGAAGTAATGTCCCGTTGTAGAACCTTTTGTAAAGCCTCCCGTCTTCGATAGCGTAGCTGGGAGCCCTCAGCTTTGCTAGCTTAGCGCGGGCCTCATCCCCGGGAAGTTGCCCTGTGGTGATGAAGGCGACAATGTCTGAGATCCAGTCACCTTGC